TTTATTCATCAATCCCCATAACAATCTCATCTTTGAACTGTCCTTCCTACAACTGATTCAACAACTCACCCATAAGACAGCCTGAGAGGTAAGACTAGGATAAGACTGGAAAACAACATTTCTGTCACTTTGTCTACAAGCAATTTTACATAACCTCCTGAATCTGAATGGGCCTATCTAGTTTAGTGCTGGTAACCTGCTGCTTATAATCCTGTCTGGATCCTCGTCTGATCCATAAAGCTGAGCAGCTACTTCCAACACTAGTCAGGCCTGCCACCACAAGCTTCTGTGGCCCTGAAATAAGCAACAAGGAGAGGGAAAGTGCGTAAGGTAAAGAGGAGGGAAGAGGAGGGAAGAGGAGGGAAGAGGAGAGAAGAGGAGAGGAGCAGGGTAATTGGATTGGAGGGATCTTCTATTTGGCCCAGTCTGGTCTCTGTCATCGCGCTCCAGGCCTGGCTTCTCTCAGTGCCCACAGAAGGCAGCAAAAAACATCAACACACTCTCACACAAGTCTGTTACAGTGGAGTTTGGTGTGTGCCTACTGCTTTAACTACTGGGTAAATGGTTAAACAGATTACAGAGCACACTAAGTGGATTGTCACAGTGCTCTATCGCTCGCTCAGGGTGTCTCTCCTGCGATTAAAAGTGGCCAGATTTTTTTTCTCTCTCTTCCTCTCTCCCTCCCTCGCTCGCTCTTTCTCCCTCTCTCCAGCATTTGCCCACTGACTCATGCCTGTATCAGGGACAGACAGGTCGTTCAAGAAGCCCCAACAGAAAAACATTATTCTATTTTTTGTCAAAATATTTGACTTTTAAACCTTTTCAAACTGGATCAATTCAGATATAATAAAATGATAAAGTTAGTCCATTGAGCCCCATCAGTTTAACAAGACTTAATCTGATAATATATTACAGACCACAGGGACATTCCAAACCATATTTGTGTATTCAAAAATGTAAGTGCAAGTTATTAATATTATTAGGATTATTATAAATGGAGAACAGAAAATATCAACTATTTTAAAATGTTGTTTTACAATGCGGATGTAAAACAAGTCTCAATTAGTTGTCAGTGTGGATTAAATAAATGTACTGTATGTCTGTGCACATCAAAGTCTATTTATCAAGGTCCCATGGCTGACATTTCTCCATCCTTCTATCCAATTTTTGTTTATTATCTTTGCTGTAAAGAAGTAGCTAATGATTGCATACAGCCATGGGCCAAAACCTGTCCAGCTGCCTCTCTCTCAGTCTGTGGGGATGTATGCACTCACTGTCCACCCGCTATATGTGGGCACCTCTCCTCCCAGCCCCCACTCAAGCAACATACAACATCTCGGTTTGCTCGTCTTGCTCCTGGCCACCACTCTAATGCGCACACACTTTTACCACTCATTGATTTAAGTCAATGTGAGTGTATCCTAACCTTCTGAGGACATTGTTTGATGTACCTCCACTGAACTAGCTCCCAAAGCCAGACACAGCCTACAGACTTGGTGTGAGTATATTATGGACCACACCAGCCAGCGGTCCTGTCCACACACCACCCATACAGACTCCCAACAGACTAGCAAAATGCCCCGGGCACAGGCTATGCACACACAAGCACACATAAACTCATTTCTCTGTGTATTACCTCCACTAATGAGCTGTTAGATGTTCAACAGAGGCAAAGAAGCCGACTACTGTTTCCTTAGAGTCACTGCTCAGTCAATGTTAGTGTGCGTCTTGGGTCTTGTAATAGTTTTCTCTTTGCCTCTCAGCGTCTTCAGCTTGTGGAGGTTAAGGCTGAGCGTCGGAGCAGAGCTAGCCAAACCAAGGCCCGCGGGTGCAGCTGGGACCCCTATGGTGAGCCTGGGTTTTGTTTATCACGTCAAGGGAAAAACAAAGTAATGAGGGGAATTACCAAACAATCACATTTACAGAGCGAGAACTGAGCGGGCAGGCTTGAGTAGACTCTAGTGTCAGAGAAGAGTCTTTGTGAAACGTTTAAACGATTTTAAAATCTGGTGTGCAAACAGTGGAGGTTCACAAAAAGGCACTTTTTTCGAGTATGTTTTCAAGCTTGACATGGAGAATAATTCTAAATCACTTTTCAGACTTCTGTCATTCTTGAGAAAGAGATCAAATTATAAAATTAAAACTATTTTATCATTTAATTGACTTAATTTTGAACCCATTAGGCTACCAGAAATATTATATTCAAAAGGAAAGATAGCTGCGCTTTGCACCCATTTCATACTCAAATGACATGCAATTGAGTCTCGTGGACCACTGCTCCTCTGGTGACCCAGTGCAGACAAGAAGTTCAGCCTAATTGGACAGACCTCTCTTCTATTGAGGATGTAGAGAGGATGAAGCCAGCCCACGTTCTTCCACTGCCCACCCTCTAATGAAAGAAAGCAGCGGTCATCACACCTGAGGGACAGGGCTAAGGTCTTTATAAACCAGACAAACGCTTTTATGGAGTTTGGAAAATGTGGCACAGACAGCCAAAGGAAAGCAGTTTCATTTAGTGAATTAGCAGGTGTTTTACCCAGCCCTGAAAAAGTAGCCCTGATTGTACTCCATCCATAGCCCAGAAATATTCCTCAAAGCTTAATCAAAGCCTGAACCACTCCAGCATTTAATGATGCCAACGCATTTAAAACACTGAGTAGTAATTAAAAATATTTTTAAACATGTTGTATCCAGTGGAGAAAGAGCCATCTGTTAACTTGAGTTTCTAGGTTTCTGCTCATTAATTACAGGTGGGAATTGGGTTGGAACATCAGGTGGAGATTGCTGTTACATTCAAATGATACTTCTGTCATTGGCTGCCGGAGGGAAACGGTGCACTTGTTCACATAGCACTGAGACTGTTTCTCAGACGTTGATTAAATAAGAGTCAAAATGATATTAACCAAAGTAACCCTGACCGGTGTGAAAGCCCAGGGATTACATTACAACAAGTGTGGGTCTGCTGTCTGCAGATCAGTATTTAGTGCCTTTCATTTATTTCTTATGATTACGGATAGTTCACATGATAAAATAAAAAATGACAAATATAAATAATAATTTGTAATAGTCTTAATACTGAGGGTCCAAAATTTTATTGCTCATAAAATGCACAGTATATTCATTGGTTATGAACTTCTGGATTGTGTTTGTAATTGACTTGCTTCCTATCGGCTGTATTAGACAAGGCAAATCCAGCCTCCTAAGGTTGAACAGTCTGACAAAACATATACCCTGACCCTGAAATGCACACTTAGCCCCTGCCATTTTTTGAAAAAAGGCAGCAAGATCTCTTAACAAGTGCTTGTCTTTTTCAATAAATTTTGCATGAAAACATGGTGCTGGAGCAGCACGCAGCCTGCTGTCATACTAGAGGAGTGTTAAATGTTTAATGACGACAACACCACATGCGCGCACACAGACGTGTGTCAGGGTGCCGCTCTGAGGGGCCCTTCTTTCATCCTGACAGACACTAGAAAGCCCCTGAGCCTCATCTTCACCCCACCGTGCCAACAACACCACAGCCCCACTCCTAGCACCAGCCGCCAGCCCGGAGACCTGGATGTAAATGAGAGTGGAGTGGAGCAGCGCATGTACATGTGTGGCAGTGTGAGCTGACGAGCATGGTAAAGACCCTGTCACCATTAAGAGGAGAAGAAGTGGAATGGAGGAGACAGATGGGGCGCGAGATTGGAAGTTATGTTTTACATATTCCTGTAACAATCTGCAGCTTCTGTCTTTTGCTTCTAAATGAGCACATGATAGCACATAAACTTCTGTATCACACAGTCACAGACGGAGAGACACATCACTGTCAAGTGGTGCAATGAAGCCTTCAGCTTTTAAAATCAAATTTCAGGAAATTATATCAAGTTCACATTCTTTAACATCCTGTAAAGTTTATAATCAAATTATTCCACCCACTACTTTTGCTTCTGCTATTACAGAAACTTGCATTCCATGCTCATACAGTCAGTTACAAATAACAGAAATAACATAATAATAATGAACAATTGTATTATTCTTTTATGAATAAAAAACTTAATAGGCAAAAATGGGCTACAAAGTGCTACTGGTGGAGACACAAGCCGTTTCCAGTTATATCAGTGAAAGCATTCACACAGCACAGTGACAAGTCGAGGCAGGGTCAGATATAAAAGGTAGAGATGCGTATCAAATCTGAAGGATATTGAAGACTTAATAAGAAAACAGATATAGCCTACTTTCAGTGTTTACTTTATTAGTTTTAAAATATATCTATATAGCTATAGAAAGGTAATATTTAAGAACCTGACCCTTAATGCTGGCCTTTCTTTAATATTGTTTAAATTGTTACTGCTGTTTAAAAAATATGTTATTGCTGACCATTTCAAAGCCATATTCATTAAAAGTAAACTTCTTTTTCCAGACTAAAGAAAAATATTGACAAAGTAGACTATTTTGGATATATGGTTTAATAGATTTTTTTTCTTGTATCAGACTATCAGACTGTGGCAGACTAAAATCACAGGGGGACGTGGCATGTACCTTTAGGGACCTCCATTTATTGTTTTCTAGCAATAGTTACAACAGAGACCTGTATGATCAAGTTAAAAAGTGGGACATATTGCCCCACAGTCCACTGGGTACAAAAGTGTGGCTATCAGGGTTTATCAGGCAACCCAAATCTTAGCTTCTCGCATCCCTTCCATTGGCATAAAACCATGACATCCTTTTCTTACAAGAGGGGAATTATATCGCATTACAAGCAAAGTCTGGCCCTGTGCTTGATAGCTGGGGGAAATCGAAGGGGAAAGGCACTGATGGATTGATGGATGGAGGTATAGAGTGATAGATGGGAGGCAAAAAGGGCTGGGACTGGACTCTGCTTTCACTCAGTTAAAAACAGTTGGACTTCTGCAGACAGTCCACTGTGCACTGCAGGACCCACTCAGAACTTGCATTGATGTGTTTGTTATTATGAGAGTGTACACGATGCATGAGGGAAGTCATCCATCACTCACCCCCTTTTGTCCATCTTGTCTTTGCTCCTGTCTTTGTCCCTGTCTCGCTCCCTGTCACGGTCCTTATCCCTGCGCCGGCTCCGGTCACGACTGCGGCTCCTCCGGCGGCTGTGGCTGCGACTGTGGGAGCGGCGGTGGTGAGAGTAGGACCTGAAAAAGAAATGAAATAAAAATTCATAAAAACAAGTTAGGTCAATGTGTTAATAATACAAAAAAAAAAAAAAAAAAAACAATAACTTGCTTATCAGCTAATGTCAAGTATTAAAACTGAAACATCACTATTCATGGAAGAAAATGCCAACTAGGAGCAACTAGGAAACAGATTAATTGAAAAATGTAGTTGTAGATTGCAGATGTCATAAAAGTTTAGAATATTTGTGACTATTTTGATCATAATTAAAAATAATAATTCATTTGATTTATATAGTGCCTTTTTGGACACTCAAAAATGGTTTAGAGTGCATTACTCATGCACTCTACATTGTTTAAAACCAGAGTGATTTGTGCCATTTCCCCCCCTCTGACCACGATTAACTTTTGCACATCCTTTATGAGCTGAGAAAAAAAAATAAACAAATAAGGTCAATGACATGGACAGGACTCTCCCTTCATAACAGTAGTTTCTTAGTAGAACTGTTATTTTGATTTGCAACAGGAAAGCTCAAGATTGAAATGGCACTGCTTTATAGTGATAGCATTATCTTGGAATCCTCTCCAAAGTATGTCGGGGGACACTGATCAAATGAAACTTAAATTTGTATATTAAGAGGAATAAAATTGTGGTTGGCTGCTATTGCATTTTTTTCCAATTTGTCTTTTTTTCCTCATTAATTTCCTGAAATTTGCCTTTCAACTGTTTGCGTGTCTTTTTTTAATTGAGGTTGTACATCAATAAATCAATGGCAATATTTCTGCACATCAACAGTAAGTGGTTGCCAATTGCACACTTCTCCAAAATGATAAATTGAGGTGTAACTCATTGGGAACAATTTTCAGAGTAGAGCAAATTCATTTTTCACTTGCCTGGCCCTCTACGCTACGTACACACTTGAGATGGAGCCAATTAGAAGTGGGCTCGGAGGAAGACCTGTCCCCTGTATTGATCCTGACATTGGCCCTCTGGTAGCAGAAAGATTTACAGTGCAGGTTTTATTTAGTTATGAAAAATCACAAACACACAAGGAAAAAAAGAATTGGAAATGTAACTGGCGTTTAATATGAGGCTGTATACATAGAGATATATTAGCAGAATATAATGCATTTATGTCATTGCACATCATTTTTAATGTGGACACAATCTTTAACCCCCATAACTGTACACTGATGTATCTGTGTGTGACAAAGGCCCAGATTTGAACCCCCTGAAGACATTGGCAGATAAGTCGGCAGTTATCTTCCATCATCTATCATTTTATTGATTTGTCTATAAAACAGTTAAACCTGCTGTCCGCCAGCTTTATTGCTTTCCCCCTTTTATTAGTTTGCAGTTTGGGACGTCCAGAGCTGTCTCCCTGCCGACAGAAAACTAATCATTTCCTTCAGGTGCCTGTCACCATGCTAACAGACAACACTCTGACAAGTGCTGCCATCAATTAGACTGGAGATATCTTCATCACTGCACACTACACAATAAAGAGCTGCTCCGTTTCACCAAATGTGTCAGAGAATTAAAGAAATGATTTTATAATTGACGCTATGCCCATTATTATTTTTATTGCCAACATTTATTTAAGGTGGGGTATGCTGTTATTGGTGTTTTATTGGTTGTTACATTTGCCTGTAAGCTAGATAAAAACTTATAAAAATATATCTGGATTTACGTTCCATACAAGCTGCTGTAGTGGACGTCACTTGAGTCATAGCTGATTTAGCTTTATTTGACAAGAACTAAAAACAAGAATAAGATTTTGATTGAGGTGAAAACAACCATCAATTGGACATGTGATTAAATGTAGCATGTAAAAAAGGCCATTTACTAAAGCTCTGATTAACTGAGTCAGACCACCACAGCTGATGGATAAAAAAGAAAAGAAAAACTTGGCATTTTGGTGGTTTGGAGTCTCCACACGAGATAATCCATCAATGGCTCAAACAGACCTTGGAATGAGCGAAACTATGAATGGACAATGCCTGCGTATGTTTGTAATCACCACAACATGACGGGGAAATACAACAGAGATGCACTGTTCCAAGTTCCAAGTCTTTTACATTTACGGCCAAGCAAATTGTGGCCAGAAGCAGCAGATGCAATAAGCTCAATCTCTCGCTAACTGTTTCTCTGTCTGCGCCTGCCTTTCTCTCCCACTGATGGTGAAGGAAAAACAGCCCACTTCTGGGGTGTGCAGCAAATTAAATTTACTGTAGTTAATAGAGTGAGTCGATGCTGCTAAATGTCAATTTCCTGACCAAGACCTTCCCCTTGGAGAATGATTAGCTAATTTGAGGCTGGGGATAGATGGCCTAATGCAGACACACACAGATAAACAGCTACGCCTGGACCCCATGCCAAGCCCTTTCCCTGCTTTACATTTTATTGGCCTTATTATCGCCCGGGAAATGGGTCCCCCTATGGCCTAAACATATTTTCATTTCTAATAAAAGGCCCTTGCTGCTTGCCCCCAAACACACACATGCACTGCTCCCGGCCCAACCTCCAACGTCTTCCTCCATTTCTTCCTCGTTTCTGTGCACGATCCATTAAATCTCTGCTTTGCAATTGGCCGAGTCCGTTTAGCTGGTGAATTATCAATAGAGTAATTATGCAGCGTGTTGGGAGCAGGGCTGGAGCTTATCGGCACTGACCCCCGGTGTGTGCTATGATATGATCCCTTCACCACAGCCCATTGGGGTAATTATGCAGTCCAGTGTGAAGCTGGATGGTGTTTTACCCTTATCATTTGCCATTCTATTTCTGTTCTCATTGAAAATTGGACATTAATGCTAGGCTAATGTAAGATACAGGTGAGCGTCTTCAGTGAAGTCCACCCCTGGTTAATCTGCCCCTACAAAGTCAAATCTGGCTCTGTGTGTAGCTTGCATGAATACACAACACAAGCAGCTAATCATTCTCATGCTTTCACATCTTTATCCTTCCCTGTTTGCAGTATAACACCAAACATTTAAATACCAAAGTCCACTGGGAGAATAAACTAAAATTCTCATACACATTTTTGGTTGGAATAAATACTGAACTGAGTGAGGCCCATTGGTGCATGGACATTCACATAGTTTTGATATTTGCGGAACAGAAACAAAAATGATCACTACTTTAGCATCACCATCTTAGACCCATAGCTGTTGTAATAAGCACCAGCCCAAGAAAACTGTAGGCTTTTCCTTGTTAACAAAGGACAATAAATAAAAACTAGACTGTGATTAACACCAGCATGATTATTACGGTTAAAATAAAACTAAATAAATAGAGATAGTTTGATTCTACAGTCCTTTTCAAGCTGACACCTTTAGACAGACATCTATGTGTACAAAACTACAAATACTATATAGTGGTTGATATCACAAAGTAAAAGAACATTTTAAAAGAAATGGCCTCATTGACAGAAGGTAGCTTCACATACGAAGAACTTCATTAATGCGCTGTTCCCCGCTGAGTTATTTCCAATGACAGAGCTCACAGCAGCAGCTTCATGTTCCAGTTAAAAGTCACTCCTTCTCTTTTTTGCCATTTCAATGAGTCTAAAAGCACCTTGAGTGAGCAGTGTGCATTTCCTGCTGCCAAAAGACGTGGAAAACAGCTGTTCCTGCCTGACGTTGCCTTCTGAATGGAATGCAAATATGTTAACCATCCAGAATTTATTACTTTTGAGTGCTCTTCAAACGAGACGGCAGACACAAGTTTAATTTATGATATTCCTCTAATTATGAGAGCTGTTGAAATCATTTCCCAAGCTGCTTCCTCCTTCCAAGCAGCCATTATGCGTTTTCTCAGTTTACGCAGCACACAGACGTAGTCAGGCACCATGCTAACACACAGAAACATAAACACTCAATAACACATAAGGAAGGGCTGCACAGTCGCTGAATGTGAGTACAATTAACACAGCAAAAAACTGAGCATGAAAGACTCACAGAAATGGTTTTCCTTGTTCCCCTCTGCTACATAAAAGCCATGTTTAGATTTGTCATAATCTTCAGTTTGCTTTTAATTTAGCCGTCGTCAACACAAATGTCTGCAATGCTTGCTTGGCTGTGTAGTAGAAATGAGACCTCATGCAGGCCACCCACTGGCTACACACCCTAAAGCCAGCCAAACACACACATGCTTACAGCCACAAGCCACAAGGTCAAGTCATTTAGCAGAGTTCAAAGGCCTTCAAAGCTCTCTCAGATCTATATGAACCGACAACGGCCGGCCAACGATGAGAGAAACAACGACTTTCTATGGCCGCATGTACTTAGTGTGTGTGCGCACGCACTGGGAACATACACTGATGCATGCTGCACAGCATCTTTATTGGCACATATGCCCAGTGTCACTCAGCTTCCACATCGCAATCCAAAACTGGCCCGTCTGCTCTGCAAAAGCAACCTTTGACCCCAGCGCAGCCGCAACTTGACATGACACCCATTAGCAGCTGGAGCTGAGGGGGAATCTGGCTTATCCGCTTGGGCCAGACACAAGGTCAAGTAGAGGTCATTCTTGGACTAGGTGCTAACTTGCAAACTCCCTCACAGCCAATCACACAACTGAAAGCCCTTTCCCACTCCCACCATACATCACAGACAGGAACAATTATTTAGACCAAGTTTCGAATGGCTTGTTTTGGCCATCTTACCTCCATCTGTGAGAAGGTGGAGTAGAAAGAGGCAGAGACTGATAAGGGACAGAGAAAGACGTGGATATTTGGGCTTTAGCTAAGTGCAGAATGAGACGACAGAGGATGAAACCTTAACTGAAGGGCTGGGTTAAAGAAGAAATGAAGGTTATAAAAGTTTGGGAGGAAAGAACAATGAATTCAAGAAGATAGAGATAGAGAAAAAAAAACTGAATTGGGACTTGTAGAAAAGACGGAGCTGCAGCCGTGCTTCACATCAAGCTGGCTCTAATTAGCAGGTGTGCTCTCAGGCGCTGGCTCGCACTCTGGTTAGGAGAGATGTATTTTTCTGCCTTTTATACACATGTATTTATGAAG